ACCAGAGTCTACAATCCAAGTAGAGTTAGTGTTACCTAGAGTTGAGGCATGAAAAGCAGTGGCTCTTGTACCTGAGTGGGCAAAAGCTGATGTAGAGGAAGGACGAGCAGTGGTGGCAGAGGTAGGCTAAGATGATCCTGTAAGTCCAGCTTCATTCTCCAACTGTGTCAAAGCTGCCCTGGCTGCAGCTAAGATCTCCAAAGAAGTAGATTAAGGTCTAGGAAGGGAACAACCATCTTATGTAATAGTTGCATTTGCATTTCCCTTCTTATTCCTAAGTCTTTCTAATATAAGATTAGGGTGAAACTTCAAACAAGTGTCTCTTGTGTGCCTAGGTTTCTTGTAATAATCACAAAATACCCCTCTTTCCTTCATTCTTCATCTCTTTTTCCCTACCACCACCATGCTTCTGTCTTGCAGCTGCTAATGCTACCTCCATTTGAGAATGTTGTAGCATAACCTTCCCCCTACTCTCTTCACTATGCACTAGGGAGTAGGCTTGGGACAAGGTAACACTTTCCCTAGTGAGAAGTTGTCTAACAATGTCAAAATCAGAATTCAGACCCACAAGAAACTCAAAGACTCTATTTCTCTCAACCAATTTACTATAAGTTTCTGCATCCTTATTGCTCTCCCACTCAATTGTTTCAAGGTGATCTATCTCATGCCATAAGTATTTCAGTGTAAAGAAATAAACCAATACAGGTTTCTCCCCCTGCTTTAGATTGTTCACTTCAATTTTCAACTCATAAACCCTAGCCACATCAAGTGGTTGTGAGTAAATCTCTTTCATATTATCTCAAATATCCTTGGTTGTCTTTGCCCAAAGGTAATTTCTATTAATATGGGGCTACATCGAATTGCACAACCATGTCATCACAAGATAATTTTCTTGAACCCACTTTACATAAGAAGTGTCTCCCTTGGCTGGTTTCATAGTGTCTCCAGCCACATAGCCTAGCTTTCCCCTTCCTCCCATGGCCATCAGGGCAGATTGAGCCCACTCCAAGTAGTTTGAACCATCTAACCTAATTGTGGTAATCTAAAAAGGGTTGTTATCAGTCATACTAACAGCCCCTCCAGCACCTTCTCCAGCAGATTTCTCTTCACTCCCAAAGAACTCCATGCTGGACTCAACACAAAGAAGAAAAAGAACACAATCGACTCCCCTTTTGAATACAAAAAGAACCCCCAAAACTGAGAATAGGGACAAAATCCAGTAGATTTATTGTTTTTTAAAAGAAACCCTAGAAACAATCTTGGAGAAAGTTGAAAAAGAGCAGCCGCTCCTCACAGAGATTCCAAGAACCCTACCTCCTGTTACAAAACTTCAGGAAAGCTGAAAACTACCCAGAAATTTCTGGGCAGCACCTTTAATCTGAGATTTAAGCCCTAAATCTCATACAAACTAAGTTTCTATGATTCTTCCCGACTGCTGGGCAATCTCCAAGAATAGAACTGTCTTGGGCAAGCTTCGAACTCCACCAATCTCCAAGAATTAGGCCACGAAGAGAGCTAAATCTCCAGCCCTGATAAAATCTCATGAAGTCGGCTGGGAAGAGCTCACATGAGATTCATGAGCAGAGCTAAACCTGCTCTGATACCAACTTGAAGTTACTGCTGTTAGCAGAACTTTTAGGTTGAAAAATAACCCAGGAATCAAACAGAGAATAAGAAAGAAGAAATGCCCTGCTACCTATAACAATACAAGAAAGCAAGCAGAAAGCAAAAACAAGCAACAAGAAAACTGAATTTATGGGACCACAAGTAAACATATCAGGTCTGGTCCACTGTATCACTACATAGGGGGGACTGAAAATTTGACCATGTAAACATGGAGGAGGTGAAGGTGGTGTCAAAGGAGGGGATGAAGTAGAAAAACATGGATATAGAAAAACTTGTTGAAGGGAAGTATAAGTTGGAAAATTGTTGGGATTGTTCTTCATGGGAAGCGAGGCTTTTGTTAGAAGGGCTTTCGAGGAGTTGGAAAAAAGGAGGAAGTAAGTTTTCAAAATCTGATGGGAGAAATTTGGAATGGGGAAGGAGGGGAGGAAGAATAAATTGTTGATGAGGAATAAATTTTCATGATGGTGTTTAGGATCTTCTGATGTTTCCAATCGTTCTTATTAAGGTGTTCGTGTGGCTGTTTTTTTTTTTTTTTGTGTGTGTGTGTGTGTGTGTTTTGTTCTATTTGGTAGTGTGGGTGAGTTGGTATTGATGTGTGGTGCCACCCTAGCTCTGTTGGAGGATGAATCTTGCTTTCCTTGTTCTCTTTTTAACTTATTCTTTTCCTTTTACTTACCAAAAAAAATTGACCATGTAAAGTCTACTTGCAATAAGGGAAGCTCTTTCAACTTGAGGGTGTCCACTAAAGCATTAAGTTTCTCATACTAGTAGTGATCCCTTGGTTAGGATTATTTGGCTCCCTTGAAAATCTGATCACATTGAAATCTCCCACTAAGCACCATGGACCTTCCCAATAGACACTATTAGGACCATAAACATTCATCAAGGCGCACTCTTTTCCATCTAAGGCTCTTTTAAATTTCAAAGGGAATGAGAATTGACCAATCAATTCCTCCAAGCACTCCAATTCCCCATTCTTCCAAATAGTGAGAATCCCCCCAAAAGCCCCCCAAGAGGGTCTGTAGGACCAACTGAGACCCCTAATTCCCCAAATGTTCCTCATCAATTTTCTGTCTATTGCTAATAACTTGGTCTCTTGAATCATCACCAAGTCTGGTTTCTCCTTCCTAAAAACATTTCTGGTCAACCTTCTCTTTTTCACACTTCATAAACCTCTTACATTCCATCTTATCAACTTCATTACAACAAATTGGAAACCCCTGGATTGAAAACACCACTTCACTCCCCTTTTCTTCTTCCCATCCTTGTGCTTGAAGACTTCATCTTTCTTTCCAATGTTTTCTACTTCAGCTGTTCCCAATCTGAGGAAGAAGTCTTTCATAGTTCTAGCAACCTCTTGCCAGCCTTGGCTTCTTCTCCCTCATAGTTGTCAAGGCGTCACCTAGGCAACTAGACACCCTTGGTTGTGCGCCTCACCCTAACGCCTTGACTTTTAGCAACTAGGCGCCCACCTAGGCAACAAAAATGACAAGGTGGATGCCTTTTATAATATCATATATATATATATATATATCAATTTTACTTTGTTTTAATGTTTTACTATTGAAATTTAAAAGATCAAAGGGTTTTGAGGAGAGAGAAAGAAAGAAAGAAAGAGGAAATAAAGAATAGAATTATAAAGAGGTTTTTTTTTTCTATTCTCTCTCTCTTATTAAACAAAACAGAAACTCCATCCTTGTTTTTTCTATTTTACTTTCCACCTTGAATATTTATCATATAAAGTTAATAACCTTTTTTAGCTGCTAATTGATATGAAATTTCTCTTTTAAATACTTATTATAGTAGTATTATTTTTGAAAATAATGAAATTAATATATGTAAATATTTTTATCTTTTAGATGTGATGATTTGCCACATTTTTAGAGGAAATTTAATGTTCTTACTAAAGAGAATTGCTATTTTTTCAATTAATACATATGCTGAAAGGTTATAAAACTAGGGAACTATCCAAGAGTTAGTTTTTCTATTATTAAATTTTTATCGCCTAGGCGACTAGGCATCCTAGTATCGCCCACAATCGCCTAGACGCCTTGAAAACTATGTTCTCCCTGCAGGAAAACATACCACTTGCTTTCTACCCTTGGCGAAAATCTCTAAGAATGCCATGAAGGACCCTCTGTTGTTTCTCTTGCATTCTACCACATATCTTTTTCCTGTCTCTGTATATAACTCTTTCCAGCTCCCTTGCTTCCCTTTGCCACCAGCTTCCAATACAAAGTCTCCAAACCATTGGTTGCCTCTAACCCTACCAACAAAACTGTAGCCATTCTAGCTTCCCTGATCTTTAAGCTAATCTGTCCTCCAATCCTCATTTCCTCAAACAAGAAATTTTTTGCCTCCACCTTTAAGACTCTCTTCCATCGTATAGCCTCCACAAGGTCCTCCATCGTCTGGTTAAGAAAAGGGAACAAGCCTCTCAGTACTGAAAAGAGAGGGATAAAATGAGAATAAAATCTACAACGGAGGTTTTTCCTTCAAATGGTCGAAGAAGGGATTTTCTGTGAGGCTTTGGACAACAGGGTTGAGTCTCACTTTTGACAGGGTAGGCAACCTAAAAACATTGATATTAGAATTCCGTCATCCGAGGAAGAAGCAACCAATGGCTTTGATTTCAGTCAAAATCACAAGATCCGCTAACATCTTGGCCAGATCCTTAGTATTTTTTTAAGTCTTTGATGATAGATTTTGCAGTTCATAGGGAGCCATTGTCGTATCTTTCTGAGGGGTTAAATTGAGAATGGAAGAAAGCCATCTGCCTATTTCCTTTGATTGAGAATAAGGTTATAGATACTTATACATCCTGAAAGGTAGTGATGCTTTTCAACCTGATATATTTATTCTATTCATATCATTTAATAATAACTTATGAAGTCCCCTAATATAAGAAGCTGTATTTTTTCCCCTTTTTTGTTGTTGAAGCAGATAAAGAACAAGATTCAGCACTATGTTGCAGGCAAAGAATAAAAATAAAAATAAATAAAAAACTCAATTAAAAATTCTTAAGAACACATCAGATCTCCACAAAGCCAGCCATGTTGACACTTCACAGTGCATCACTTTTCTATGGTATATTCTGAAATTAAAATATCATTGATATACTGGAAAATCAGATAGCCTTCTACCAATTGTTTAATTGCAAAGATCTAACAGAAAATGCCTGATTTCTTTCAGTTATTCTAGAGCCAAATAAATAGACATGCATGAGCATCTACAAGTCAAAGATTAACTACTACCTTTAAAAAGCATATTCAAATAAGTGAATTTGAAGATAAATCATAAATCTTAGCACCTTTACATTTTTATTAACTAATATATCAATGAAGTCAACTTATACAAAGGTTCAGACAACACACCTTGTATTCAGAAGCCTCCTAAAGGTCATAAGTACCCTTGCTGGCATGATAGTCAGCAATGACAGAAATGAATCCAAGCAGACCAAGAAGCCAACATTAATAAGCTGCAAAAATTGAGCTAATATCTGAAACTCCATGACAAAGAAATAACACAAAAATAAGACAGAAACTACAAGTTTTTATTTACCAAACCAGATAAATCATTTTTTTTATAGGAAACGGTAACTTTCATTAGATAAAACCATAAGAAACAACTATCACCTTCCAAAGTAAAAGGTGACCCCTGAATAACAAAAATCTTACAACATTGCACAAAACAAAAACTTCCGATTCACCCCCTGTTTTGCTAGGTAGTCAGCTAAAGCATTTGCTGACCTCCTAGACCAATACACTTTTGCATCCAGCTCCCTTGTGAGGCTCA